ACTGATCCCCCTTTTTCCTGAACATTTTTTGTTTATTGTGTTCTTAATTTTTTTTATAAGTCATATGAAACAAGGTGCTTGTAATTAAAATGTTATCGAAATTATTGAACCAATGCATGCATATGTACTAAACTTATTCCTGTATGCACGTATTTTACATTTATTACGATTTTATAACGTGTTATCGACAAATAACATTTCATTCGGTGATTGATCGAAAGCTTATTAACTATCGATTTTTTTGCCGAAGTTTAACGGATCGTGACATTGATAAACAATCAACGTGGAGCACGTAAAAAAATCAGTGTATTGATAGAGCCGTGATATTTTTTTTAATGTATTTTCCATGCGTTCCAATTTGTTAATTCAACTTTTCCTTATCAGTTGTTAAATGATTTGGTGTATTTAATTTGTTCTTTAGGAATCAGTTATTACTATCTACCTTCCAATGCACGTTAGTTTACATTCTTTCATCACGGTTTATCCCTCGGACTTGCGCTGTGCGGTGGCCGAAATTATAACGAGAGGTCTCGTAGTAAAGTTCACTGCATACGGAAAAATATAGGAGAATTAGTGTACCAGAAGACAATAATTCAATAGCAGTACATTTATAAAAACTTTGATAATATGAAGGATTTTCTTTCACAAGAAAGTTCACGTACACTTTTTTTACAGTAAAACTTAACCATTCAAGTGTATACAACATATTCAACATATTTTTAAAATGAAGATTCATGTGACTTTTAGAAGTAATTTTCTTCCAGGAAAATAAGAATAGAGGGACATCAAATATAAACTGCTGTTACTTTAATAGCGTATGGATAAGAGCAACAACACATTAAGTTTAAGTGAAAATATAGTTTAGAATATGATAGACTATTAACTAAAACTATAGGCTCTTAAGAGATTGTGTCGCTCACCTGCATCTTCAACAATGGCCACTTTTTAGTAAAAATCATCATTAAAAGGGAATAACTCTATTGAGAGTTAACTGACAATTTCAGTGACATATTTGTAGATCTTATCCTGCTGATAATTTTTAATTTTTAAAGTTTCTATTTATCTATTGTAGTGCAAAAAATGCATAAAAATGTTAAAAATTATCTTTTAAGGGCAATAACTCAAATAACTGAAGATTTCGGTCATTATGGTTTATTTGTAGATCTTGTCTTGTTGCTCATTAGTACTATTTAAAGTTTCTATCCATCTATTACAGTTTTCAAGATAATAAGCAAAAATGGGAAAAATCGGGAAATCGTCATTAAAAGACAATAACTTCAATAAGGAGTCGACTAGTGATTTCAGTTATTTGACTTATTAGTAGATCTTGTCTTGCTGAGCATTTTTGCTTTTTAAAGTTTCTATCTATCTATTATAGTTTTTAAGATACTATACAAGAACGGATTAAATTGGAAAAAATCGTCATTAAAGGGCAATAATTCTAGTAAGGAGTCGACTGAAGAATTCTACTATGTGACGTATATTTAAATCCTGTTGTGCTGATCAATTTTGCTTTTTTTTAGATTCTATCTATCTATGATAGATTTTAAGATATTATGCAATAACGCAAAAATTTGGTAAAAAGTGTCACTAAAGGGCAATAACTCTAACAAGGAGTCGTCTGACGATTTTGGTAATGTTTGACTTATTTGTAGATCTTGTCTTGCTGATCATGTTTGCTCTTTAAAGTGTCTTTCTATTTATTATAATTTTCGAGATAATAGGCAAAAAAAATTAAAATATGGAAAAATTAAGGTCAATAACTCCTATAAGAAGTCGTCTGACAGTTTTGATTTAAATGAACAATAAGTAGAGCTTAACATTCTGAACAGTTTTTGCCGCCTCTCAGATTTTCTCTATTCATAGCGGTTTTCGAAATAATAGGCAAAACTTGCATTTTACCCCTATGTTCTATTTTTAGCCGTGTCGGCCATCTTGGTTGACAGGTGGAATCATCGCACGCATTTTTTTTAAACTGGATACCCTAATAATGATTGAGACCAAGTTTGGTTGAATTTGGCCTAGTAGTTTCAGAGAAAATGTTCGTAAAAGTTAACGAACGACGACGACGGACGCTTATAGTGATGAGAAAAGCTAACTTGGTCTTTCGGCCAGATGAGCTAAAAACTGATTAAAACACACAAAAAATATTTAGAAAAAAGGGGTTCTAATTCCCAAAGCGCCTGTGATTACTCTCAACTAAAATTGCCTCTGACACACTGGAACTTACAATATAGTTACAGTTGAAGGATGGTGTCACAGATTTTAAGAAAATTTGGGATACAGATTTTTCAATTTCTTTAATGTTGTGGATTACATTTAATGATTTTATAACTGTAATATTGCTAGTAAAAGCAATATTTTCAAAACATTACCATAAGACTATGCGGTATGGGTTTTACTCATTGTTGAAGGCCGTACGGTGACCTATAGTTGTTAATTTCTGTGTCATTTGGTCTCTTGTGGAGAGTTGTCTCATAGACAATCATACCATATCCTCTTATTTTTATATCTACAGATTTTTCTAATGAAATTATATTTTCTTGTAAAAATAAATCCATTTAGTGGACAGAAAATAATCATATCATAGGGTCACCTAATTCATGTATTAATTATTCAATTGCTGTGAAAAAATGAACGTTTTTCTATAATTAGTCTGAGTCTGACCACTTATATTTATATGTGTGTACCGGGAGTAGTGAAAAGGGCATTTGGTTTAAATTATGTGACAAAATTAAGTTATGAATTGTTAATTTAAAAGCTTCTTAGGAAATAATGCCGTCTACACCCCTTGAATCCTCCTATGTCAATTGATATAGATAAAATGACATATACTAGATCCTCAACCCTATATCATACATTCGGTTAAATAAGATTGGCTCCTTTTTTTAAACAGTCAATAGAATTGTTGACAGAAGACTCTTGAAATATCAACTTAAAATAATATATTGATATTGGGATTGTTTAGGTGATTTATATAGTATTATCACAATACAGCTTTGAATTTAAATTTAAAAAGAACATGACATTTTAGTTAAATATCCTATACTATGAGGTATATCTATTATGGACGCAGAAAGGTAGCTTTAAATAAACATTTTAATATCATAGTTATACATACTTATCTATATTCACACTTTAACAGGTATATGAGATAATTATCTTTCTTTGATACTATACACGTTGGCTGGGATGGGGACGATGCTCTCGTATTTTGATAATGCGATGCTATCTGCACGTTGATAAACCCTGCTACAACTTTTAAGGGAAGCCCTGCATGACAAGTCAATCTGTGTTCCCAAATTCCTTCCTTCTGTTGAAGTCTAATTTACCCGACCTTCATCCAGGTCGACCTACTTAACATCTATTAATTCTTTTAAGTTGTGTTTGTCTTGAATTTATACATGAAATATGTGTCACTGGACGTTAGATAGACAAGACAAAACAATTCGTGTTTCCGAATTTAACTTTATTGCCTGTATTCATGTCATTTAAGATTTACAAATACTTCTTTGAAATGTTTCTTATTCATTGTTGATACAAATACTCTCTTCAACCTAAAACTTATATAGCAATAATTTAGAAAATGGGCATTGTATACAAATGACTTTTATGAAAAAAGGGGGTGTAGTGTCAAGTAGATTATGAAACTGGAATGAGAAAGGATATCACGGCAAATATGAGTAAAATACTTTTCTTTCTGTAGTATATATTTTTTTTCATAAAGAATCATATTTTATTTCTTGCAGGTGACTCGTTTAACTGTATTTGCAAGCTTCGTAATTTCATTTATATTTTTGTTTACCTATTGCAAGGAGAAAACAATTATATGCACACCGTTGTCCAATAAAAATAGGAGAATTTGGTTTGTTTACTAGTAAAAAAAAAAGTTAAGTTACTTTGTTTCATCTTAATAAATGGTCACAGGTTTCTTTTAGCAAAGTAAACAATAGGAATCTACATGCCCATGATACTTTAATATCACTTATTGTATAGTATAGTTATATAGAAATTAACTAATGGTTTGACATAATAAAACATATTTCCTTTATTTCATTTATTTAGTTTTTTAAGTTATCTTAAGATAATTTTTTTTTTTTATATTATTTTTTAAAATTATTCTATCGTAAATCATTTTCAAAATAATGTCCTCTCATTATAAATATAGTAAATTTCCTGATTTTTTTCTGATAAAAATCCTCAAACCTTAAAACTGAGGTCTTACAAATGTGAGTGGTACTTTTGGTCGTTTAATACACCATCTGTAGCTTATAATGACTTTTAAAGGCAAGATCAAAGTGGAAATGTTTCTCGCCCTGTACCATGAACTTTATTGTAAAAACTCTTAAAATCTTAAATGGCGAAAGATGTTTTCTTAACAAGCAGTCAGACGTTATGCTAAATTAGTTAGTTAAGAAGTAATCAACACATTGTTTTTCTTGCTGCCACAGTTTAAAGTCTAAACTCCCCGGGAAGACAAAGTTAAGTGGACTTGATTTTCTATTCTTCTGAGCATCACGTTCGTCCATTTTATTCTGTTAGAACAAAAATTGAAAATATGGTAAAATTACAAATTGATAAAAAATCTATTCAAAGCTACTCAAAGTCTAGTATCGCGGACTCGCTGAACGCCGCGAGACATCTCATTATTGCGGGAAGTCAATTTCAGCGTATCAGCTAATCCGTTCCGATATTGTATTGGCCCATTACAAAAGATTGACAGCTATTTGTATTGATATTCAATTAGAATGGGCGTTAAATAGTTATATGCATAAAGATATAAGCTAATAAATTAATGTTTTCAGAATCTGTTTATTATAGATTTCTAAAATACTGCAAATGGATTAATTGTTTTATTATTGTAATTTGAGAGAACGGAGACTCATCCGCTTATTTGTTCCGGTTTTTTTCTAACTTTTTCTTGTACAAAAAGCGAGAGAAAAAAAAAGAGTTTTAGAATCATATATAAATATATTTAATTGATTATATATAAACTTTAAGAAAAATGATGAATTTTGCCCATCATCCAAGCTATGCAGCCGCGCTTGGGATGACAGCCGCTAGTACTTTAGGATTCTCGGCAAATTTTGCTTCACATAATCTACACACTGCCGAAAATACAGACAGAACATTTTCACATTCTAGAAATTCATTCGCTATTCAGGAGCTTTTAGGACTTCGAAGTGAGGATGAAGAAAAAGCAAGGACAACTCACAGTGACGCTTTGATTTCTCCTTCTGCGTATTTGGCCACCTCTCTGGCACCGTTAGGGAGCCCGGGGCTTAAGGAATCCGCTGCTAGCTTGCCTTATTCCAGTTGGCGGTCAACTTTTATAAATGCTCTAAATAATTCTGCTCAGACTGTATTCGGCATAGGAGCGGGTCAAGGATTACCAAAAGGCGATATAAAATCAAGTAAGTGAAAATACTAATATTTTGCTTTTCATAAATGAGCAAAAATCATTTCAAAATTGCAATGTGCATGCACAATCAAAATATATAGACTGAAAATTTTATTTTAAAATATTTCTGTTTCTTCTTAAACTAAAATTTTACTGTTAAAACAAAAATAAAAATAAATAAAAAGTAAGAAAACGAAGCTGTTTGTAAATAGTTCGGTTTTGTTTAAAACTTTTTTTAAGTGCATAAATGTATTGTATTTGTCGCTTTACTTTTCACCATATCATTTGAAGTTTTATCAATAGTTTTAGGGTTTACAATGAATGTTGTATGTTCAAATATGATATTTAAATTTTAAAAAATCATATGTTTGTATTTCTTTCTTTTCTTTTGTTGTTTTATATATAAATACACTGCAGGTATTATAATTTGATAATTTTGTAAATGATAAAGAACCGATTGAAAAATTAATAATTATTTAATAAAAATTTTAGTTTTACAAATAAAATTTCCTGTCAATGCGCAAAATTTAAAAGCTAATCTTATATGATCTTTTTTTATGATTTTGATCTTATTAGTGGCATTCAAAGCGTAATAAATTTCAAGGGGAAAGAAACAGATTTCTGTATATTTCAGCCAAATTTCCGCCGACTGTCTTTTGGATAATGCCAACGGTTTCTGAAATAATAGGCTTAACAATTGACACATCGCTGCCTGTGTTTACTGGGGTACATCCTTATAACAAATAAACATTCATTAGCCAAACGAAGATTAATTGTAACGATGGCAATTTTCTAAAAGCCTGTTGTCCGTGATAAGATCACACTGGATGCCAACCTTAACCTGGAGCCATTTTGATGGTACCAGTTTGAGCGATCTATATTTCTGATAATATACATATAAAATACGTTTAATTAAATTATCAACAGTTTTTCATTTTGTATTAATGATATCATAAAAAAAATTGAACTAATTTCAAAAGCAGTTGTAATATTTATACCTGCAAAAAGATATTTTTTAGAATGGCAATCCCTGCAGGGCTTCAAAGTGTATTCAGGTATTAAATATCTTCATATTACTCATTATCAAATATTAATTTGCTAATTTAACTTTTTATTATCGCTAGTTATTCCATTTGGCTGATTGACAAAAGATGTAGCAATAAAATTATTATTCATATTTCTCGGATATTACGGTTACCTGTTCAATTAATTTAAACAGGTAAGCACGTGCTGAATCTACGGGATTCACCGGTGTTTGTCCTCGAGTGTCACATTATATACACTTCAAACGCGCAAATGACTAGATTGTTTTCTACTCGCGGGTAAATACAGGAAGCGTTTCTTTCAAAATTATTATCTTGCACGTGAAAAGATAACATTTTATTTCGTAGATGACAAAGTTGAGGTTTTTTCCTACGGGAATAATCGAGAATTTACTAACAATGTTTTCTGATTCAGAAGAAAAACTTTTTAAACTTTTGAAGTCAATCATATTGTATAACGTCTAAAAGGAAATTATTTTAAATATTAATCTTAATTATTATAACATTCGCAATTTCATTTGTTTTCGCTTCGATAATTATATTTACCTAGAATTTTGAAGATCAAATACTTATAAAAGTTTTTATTTCAATGCTTGCTCATTATACATAAGCTGTACATGTTTTTGTAGCAAAAAAATTTAGAGAAAAAATAAAAATTAGCATAATATGTTTTTCAAAATAATCATTTGTGGTGTAAATTCCGTGAATCTATATTTCTAGGGCTCATCAAATTATTTCATAAAAATAAAACCTATAATTTGTAATTTATAATTTTGATTGCAGACAGATTTAACACAATTAGTAATGTTAACATGTTAACAATTTTTATTAGTCTTAGTTTAAAATATAAAATATCATATATACCAATCCATAAAGAATTGAAAGTTAAAAAGGAACAAAGTGTTCAAACTTAAATATAAATTGTACATTAAAAAAAGCACTCTATATCTGTACTTTGATTTGGTGGTGTTACATCTTACAAAGTCTATCCAAATAATTTTTGCAAAGAATTCCGCTCAAGCCGGTGCTAGGGGCCGTCTTAAAATTGCAGTGAGGGGAGAGCTTTTTATTGCTCCGTGTTGAAGGCCTCACTGTGACTTTGAGATGAAGAACACCAATACAAGAGCTGTTCCTTTGCTTTTTGTGTGTTTTTTGCTGTGCATGTACTGATTTTGTGTCATGAATGGATACCCCATATCCTTTGTTTTTCTATTTTTCTACAAAAAGAACTATTACTATACATACCAGAAACAAATTCCGTGTAATGGATAGAAACTATACAGTGTGATCTTGTGATGAAACTGGTCGTAATCAAACTATACAAATATACAGAAATGGCGTTAAATATCATGAAATACATAAGCACACTTGTACTAAGCATAGCTCTGAATTCTTGTTCAGGTTTGTCTCTTTGTTTTTGCCTTGTCCTCAGTTTTTTGTTTTATCAGCTCTTCGGCGTTTGTATCAGGTTTTGGACTTTCAAAAAATAATTTTGCCTCGAGCAACAATTAAGAGACATTAGATGTCGAAATGCGCTTTTGGTGCAGTAAAATTGTTACCGTAAATATTTTTATAGATTATATGCATGTTGGTCGGTTTTGAAAATTAAATTGATACTTTCTAGGACATAGAATACAATACAAATATATTCAAAGCTCAATCTCTCAATTTGGCGCGTTTTAAACTACTTTTACAAAATGAGTTTATCTTTTTTTAGATTTAGAACATAGTATTGGTGATAAAGGAAGTGTTGATAGTCTAGATGGAACGACTATTGGAGGGAAGAAAAAGAAGAAGAAGCGACGTCATAGGTCTGTGTAGTTTTATAATTCTGTTAATATTAAACAATTTCTATAATTCTATGCCAATATCATAAATTTTCAGTCAGGCAATCGTTTTGTATTTACATCGGGTGTTGAAACTGTTTGCTGCTCTCCATTTGATGAAATTATGGCGTCGGTTTTATTTGCTGTCCGTCGATTTTGCCTATATGTGACGGAATTAAATCAGTTGACCGTGCCTGAAGAAGTCTTTAAAACAGGATCGCATTTGTTTATTTAAAAAAAAAATATCTGGAGTGTGGATAATTTACTTTCTGCCACTAGGTTTTTCAAATATTCATTGAGTGTCAAATTATGATACCAATGTAAAACCGTGATACATTTGTACTAGTAGTCAGTTCCAGATTCACTATATGGGATTCAGTCTTGGCAGATATTTAAATTGATATCTATAGCTAGAGTTTTTGGAATATTTTTTTTATTTTTAATACAATACGACGGGTAATAAATCATAAGTAATTTCCGGGAATACTTAGTACATGTTGTCCTATGAAATTTGATGATACTTTTTTAGGAATATGGAATATCGAGTTCTCTCTTTAAATAGCTCAATATAGAACCAGATGCTTACACAATTCAGCTTTGTAAGATCCATACCTTTTTTAAAGTATTGGAATTTTCCCTAACTTTATAAACGAGGTTTTATCATTGTTCTCTTTTCATCGTTTCATGACAATTTCTAATTAGTTAAAATTGAGAAGATAATAATTTGTTAAGGTAATTTTGTAGAATCAATAAATACGGCTAGTTTAAAATACAATTTAATAAATATTATGTTCATCCCTTTAGCTCTATAACACAAAACCATCGCGTGTCTCTGATTATGCCATGAAACCTTGTGAAATATAAAACCAGAATTTTCGTCCTGTTTTAATAACCTAATTATTGTCAAGTCAGTTGTATATTGTTGTTTTGTGGATTTGACGTGCGATATGATAATGACAACTATAATTGAAGTATACCCAGGGAGGCATTCGTTTGCATTTTACACATTGCTAATAGAATACAGAAGCATTAACAGATTAGCACTGTAAATGCTACAATTGTTCCCGGTCCACTACAAACAATGGGATGACATTTTTTCTAATTGTTGCGATGTCTGCCTGATTCGTTTATCAATTTCGATTGGAAAATTGTCTAATTTTAGCTAATTTTCTAAGTAACCTTTATCAATTGGTATAATTTGAAACTGTTAATCTATCCGCAATAGCAGAGTAAAATACATTATTCACGTATCATACAAAGACTAACATGAAAATACTCTTTCTGTTATAAATAGCTTCACAGGGTGCTGATTTAATTAGTTAGGATTAACTTTGGGTTTTTTTTTGTATATCATTTGCATTAAAAGCATGCACCATCAATAAAATTGAGAATGGAAATGGGGAATGTGTCAAAGAGACAACAACCCGACCACAGAACAGACAACAGCAGAAGGCCACCAACAGGCTTCAAACTTGTATTTTGTTAAATTTATTGAACTATTAGGTTATTTTTCACGATTGACAGTTTTGTTTTCGGCGTATACCTTTATAGTTAATACAAACAGATATAATTTCGCGAAATTTCTATGTTTGAGAGTATCATTTTGTTTTCTGTACATCAATAGCAAAATCATAATTTTTGAAATATCTGCGAAGATTCAGTTTCGCGATTTTTGATTTTGGTCTCGAAATTGATAACATAATAATAAATGGTTCGGGAATGAAAGTAATTTTGATTTATCGCTGTTCAATGTTTGCTACCATTATTGATCGATTTTGATTTCAAGAATAACTAATAAATAATAAATTATTGAAATGCACATATAACCAGTGTCCGATGTCTTATTCACGCATGAATGGAAGTGGCACTTACAAAAAAAGGCGAAAGACCAATTTTTGATCAGTTATGATGAAATGATATGAATGCTCCGACATATAATCATACACATTTTTGACAATACATTTGGGCGTAAAGACAAATTAGGCACCCTTTATTCTTTATATATATATATATATATATAGAAATATATATCCTAACATCACTGATGAGACATTAATTGTCGAAATCCGGATATGGTGTACAAATTTTTGCACCTCATGTTTGCGGTTTACCGTCTTTTCCGCAAGTTTATTGTTTTCTGTTTGGTATTAAATTAATAATTAAGATCCATTTGTTACATCTTGTGATACGTTTATTTGGCAATCGCCAGTGGCAGTCAGCAGGTTTAAGAACATCAGTTGTTTGACCTGTTAGTCAAATGCGTTTTGTTAAAATATACTTTTTCACTTTTTGGTCTTTTAGAAAATGTTGTTTGTGCTGTATTTAGACCCCTCTACCAAGAAATTTGTTTTGCATGCACAAGTATAAAAATTGCAGTTTTTATCCAACGCAATCATAGGTTTGAACGTTGTTTTCAATTTAGATTTGTTTATATATATAAGCAGCCTTTCCACAAACGCCTCAATGGCCATAGGAGTGATATCTCTAAGAAGCCACTTCTCCCAGTTTCTCAGCATTTCAGACAGTCTGGTCACACACTTGATGACTTTAACCGCATGAAGATCCTAGTGATTGAACAGAACATTCACTGGAGTGATGCCCAGCGACAGGTTCGGGAAAGCTTTTGGATAAAGGAACTAAATGTACATCATCCAAACGGCATCAATAAAAAATACTAAGTTTTATTTTTCACTCATTTTGGGTTGTAAATATACACAGTCACGTATATTTGAGTATTGAGTTTTGTTTTATATTATGATGTTCAGGATTTTGGATTAAATCAATAGACCAAAACTTACCTGTATTATTGAGCTATTTTTATACATATTATCAGTATTGTTAAAATAATTGACACCGAAGAAGGCTATTTGTTAAGCCGAAATATTTGTCAACACGATTTATTAACAACATCTTCGTATAATACCATCTTATATTAGTATCGTTGTGCAAATCTCTAGACTTATATATATATATATATATATATATATATTTCAGCTGTTGTTGAAAATGGAATACATATCAATTGTCCTTCAATGATTCTTCGTTAGCAAAACCTTTTCTTTCTAAAACTTATATTCAAAAAGTGTTTGCTCTTGGTTTTCGTATTTTCTCTGTATGTATATCTCATGGGTCGCGAGCACCTCGATGGGTTTCATTAGGAGCAGGAATTGCTTACCCGTCCGAATCCCTCTGTGTGGTTTGTGTTGGACTATCTTTAAGATGTTGTCTGTGTATTTTTTTTGCAGACTATGATTAATCTGTTCGTCTTTTTCCTTTAGGCAAAGGTATTGTTCTTGTTTCTTCAACTTACAATTTTGACAGCCTCGTTTGTATCTATTTCCCTTTTTTTTCAAACAGGCTGAGTTTTTTATAATTGCACTTTATTCAAATGATTTATCAAGAATGTAAGTATTGACATAAGCATCACCTGATTGTCTTTTCATGCGAGAAAGAAATTAACATTTTTATGCGAGAAAGAAATTAACAGTTTTATGCGAGAAAGAAATTAACATTTTATGCGAGAAAGAAATTAAAATAACAGAGCTGTCTTTCTTGTTTTAACGTATTGCAGTGCATTCCATACAAACGATATTTGCTGTCAAGAAAGTATTTTAGGGAAATTAAAATTGAATTTCTATTCTTCTTGGTTTTCTAGACAGTTATCAAAAAAAATATATGTGTGTAAGAATCGCTAATGCATGCTTCTTTAAAAGCCCGATTCGAACTCAAAATTGCATAAGATTGTGTCAAGGTAGTTAGAAATCTCATTTTCGTATTGTATCAATAGCTGTATCCGGAGTTGCCAAGATAAAATATCTAAAATTGTTGTGTGAGGACTTTTTATATCGTTAGATTGTTGTTCCAGTGACAATTTTCTCCTTTAATTCATGTATTTTCGTCTCTCAAAAATTATTAACAGATTAAATTGTTAATCCAATAACTAAATTATAGTGTCTAAACTATTATTAATTGTGCAGAAAATATTGAGTTATGATATATTTGAGGTCATGTCTTCGACGTCAAAACACAATTATAACTAATGCTTATGTTTAATTTCAAATGATAAATCATTATTTACGTTCTATCAGTAAAATTGTAACATTAATTTGTTTAATTTTTATAGAACAATTTTTACAAGTTATCAACTTGAAGAACTTGAAAAGGCGTTCAAAGAGGCTCACTACCCGGATGTGTACGCACGTGAGGTTCTAGCACTCAAAACAAGTCTCCCCGAGGACAGAATTCAGGTTTGTGCAAATTGTTTTGCCTTCATAAATGCTTTTTCTAGGTATGTCTACATACTAGTTTGTCTTTATCTTCATGAAAATAATATATAAAACTATATAAAACGACTCTAAAAATGAGTCTGGCAAAACTAGAACAGATCATTTTTTAATCCTCGTATAAAGAAAGAATGTACAAATTCATCCACGCATAGTAACAGGTAGATGGTACTCTTTTGTTTTAATATATATTATTTACCATGATTAACTAAAAGTATACCGACGTAACAAAAGACAGTAGTTAATAAGGAACATATTCGTAAGTGCAGTCTCCGTGTCAAAATATTTCTGACAACGATGATATTGTCAGAAGGCTGTAGTACAGTAATACAGTGGTTACCGTTGGTTCATTTCTGTCATATTTGTTTTTCTTAAATTGTTTGGTTATAAAAAAAAAAGGCCTATAGTTTTTTCTCTGAATTGTTTTAGGTTTTCATGTCGTGGCCTTTTATAGCCTATTATGGGTTTTTCTCATAGTTGAATGCCGTACGTTGGCCTATCTGGTGGAAGGAAAGTTCTCTCGTTTGGAATCTTACCACATCTCCTCGTGTTTATATATATATTGTGTATTAAAAAAATTGCTTATGAAATATCGCATCGCAAAAAAAAATATATATATATATAGTATTGCATGAAAACTGAACATGAAAATGCAGAGTGAACTGGACATTAAAGATGATGATGATGATGATGATGATGATGATGATGATGATGGATGGCTGCTTAACGTCCAGCGGCAAATTAATATGCATATTCAGGACAAGAACATGTTAATGTAATATGAATACTTGCCCTGTTTTGTACTAGACCGACATGCTGAGCCGGATTTTTAACGTGCTAGTTCACAAGGTAACAGTCCCCAGGAAGACATGTCACCTTACCCGGACACATTATTCTGACTCCGAGCCGACCAGTCTTTACTCTTACTCCTAAAAGCTGTGTGCTTAGCGGAGAAGCAGCAAATACCAATTAAAAGTCTTTGGTTTGAACCGTCCTGGGTTCGAACCCACGACCTTTCGCACTCGAGGCGAACATGCTACCACGAGACCACCAATGCGGTTAACTGGACATTAAAGCATATCAACATAATTTCCAATATTAAAATACAAATTATACATATATGAGTAGTACCACTGGTAAATCGAGCAGAAGGGAATATTTTATCGTGCTGCAGAGTGTGAACACACATCACGTCATCGTTGAAGACCTTTCATGACAAATGAAGATTCGGCCATAACAACAAAAAACATTCAGTTGATTGTGATATATATTTTCAAGTGAGATATTCCTAAATTTCAAAGGCCGGGCATTTTGAAATTTCGAAAATATATTGCTAGAGTGGATAAATATCACTAAGAGTGGATAAATATAACTAAGAGTGGATAAAGTGGTATATAGTATGTAAGGGAAAACTCCGTGTATAATATTCCGAATGGATTTGGCTAGAATTATAGACAACAATTTATCAAACGTGTTGTTATATGAAATATATCCAACTGACCAAACCGTTTTAAATGCACGAAGATTTTAAGAAAGAATTGAAGAAGAAAAATACCGACTCTTTTAAAATCATATCCGGGTACTTCGTATTATTGTCGTGCACAAAACATAATTATATTTATAAAATTGAGAATGGAAATGGGGAATGTGTGAAAGAGACAACAACCCGACCAAAGAGCACTGAGAAAACAGCCGATGGCCACCAATGGGTCTTCAACACAGCGAGAAAATCCCACACCCGGAGGCGGGCTTCAGCTGGCCCCTAATTAAAAATGTGTACTAGTTCAGTGAAAATGGACGTCACACTAAACTCCAAAACATATAAATGAACTAAAACTAAAAAACATACAAGACTAACAAATTCCAGAGGCTCCTGACTTGGGACCGGCGCAAAAATGCGGCGCGGTTAAACATGTTTTGTGAGATCTCAACCCTCCCACTATATACCTCTAGTCAATGTAGATATATATATATATATTAGCCAATATATCTTCCTAACATTATCATAATGTGTACTTGTATAACATATGGAATTGTATAAAAAGTTATGCCATTTTATAAATATGGGCAAAATAATGAATAATAACTTAAATAAGCTGAATAAAGCAATTTGGATTCTTTTTTCGGTGATGTATCTATTTTCTATATATCTGTAAAACATGCATATATTTTCCATCCATTTATTAGCTTTTATCTGTCATTGAACAAGAAAACTCATCGACAACATGGACATTTCATTTACAACTAGGTCCAATAACATTGTGCAGGATAATTAATAGTCGTTCAAACAGAATAAAGAATATCACGTTAGAACTATTATCTTTTCTAAGGTCGAAATAAAGACCCCAGGAGACGAATTTGTCAAATTGTATTTTGCTAAGCAGAATATTTGAAACCCAACGAGTGCAATGATGTCTAGAATTTTCAATTTATCTAATAGATTAGCTGTATTCTCCAATGAATCTTTTAACAATTATGTGATTTCAATTAATAGATTTGTTATAGCACTCCAATCTCATCTGTCGTGACCATATTCAATTAAAAGCTAATTGCAGCGATCACCACGCGGCAAGGTAGCCATATTGCTTTTCATTGGTGTTAGATCCGGTTTGGAAATTGGAAACAATGTATCGTATTTATTAACTGGTATAGTTACACTGTTATAGTTGTCTTCCGAATGTAAGGTCGATCATTGTCCGGGTTTTAGATTTTATCTTAATAGTTCAAACCGGTCTCGTACTCTGCATTAAAACACAATGAGAATCGCGTACATTAACATCTCGCTGTTACGGTTGTGTTCAGCATAGCGTGACCATTTCCTTGTTACAGCCTATTAGGTTTTGTTCAGTTCGAACAGTTTATGCCATTTTCTATATTGCTAACTTAAGTGATTTAATTAGTTTAGTTTGTCGCATTTTAACTGAAGCTTTTGACGTAATAAATTGTAATAGAATATGGTGACCTATCTATACTATTGTTAAATTGTCCGTTAAGGTTTCTACGTTTACAGACATTTCTGGCTTTCAAATGTTCTGGTTTCAGCGCACGAAATTTATAAAGTCTTTTTTTTCATTTTAAAGGACAACACCGTGTTATTATGCAAAATTGAAATACACGCTTTTAAATTACAAAACTTATATTAATTTAATGATAAGTTACACTGCATGTTTTTGGACACATTTAGACGCATTTTTGATTCAATTTGAGAAGAGGGCATTGCACATCTAGACTTACGAAAAAAGCTACAACTATTTTTGACCTTTGTCACATTCAGGCACCTTTTCGCTAAAGTTTAAAATAATAATTGCGCAAGAATTTTTGAAATATGAAATATTTTGAAGATGCTGTAGATAAAAAAAAATGCAAAGACATGTTGCATTTCTGCTTTTTGCTTCATTCCTGAATTAAAATATTGATTTAGTTCTGACAATATTGCATGTGAATATACAATAAAAATAGTTAATAGGTTCCGTTTGGTCATATCACCTTAACCTTCAAATGTTTATGGTTGAGCGTACCTGCAAAAAGGTAAATCAAGAAAAGCGCTTCGGACACACGAAATTTATTAAGTATTATTTTTATTTTGTACACAAATCTAGTTTATCTTCGCGTTCCATGTTAAGAGCTTCTTCAGTGCTTGGTTGTCATTCGTCGTAGTTAGATGCTGTTGTCATATTTGGAATTTATGTTGATGGCGGAAATTTGATAGTCTCTTTTTAATATTTATAACTGTTTTAGACTCTAGTCAATGTATAGCTTGGCCTTTGTTCAGATAATTGGATATCTAATGTTGAAGACCGTATTCTTTTGGATTTTGGATATTTGCTGTCTCGTTGGAGTATATTCCACGTTTCATAACACATTTATTTTAAATAAATTAAGGCTTCTTTGTAATTTTATTGGGGTGTAAAAGTGGTGACCGAAGCACATTTTGTATGAAGCGCAGCGCTTCATTCTCAAAATGTAAACTTTTATTATTACAATATCAGTAAACTTTTATTATTGAAATCCTTTAAATTTTGAAATCATTCGGTTACCAATTTTGGACTTTATGTACTTGTTTCATCAGATATTTCAAATCTGCCTTCTATGGAGTGTAAGATCTGATAAATACCACCTACTGAAGCTGACAACACCGTTAGACACGTTCTACCGCGAACAAGCACGTGTTTGCACATCAATTAATAGGTTTCCAATTGGAAAACGGGATATTAGCGATGTAATGCATTTTCCTCTAATTATATTGTCAATGCATCATTGTATTTCAGATAAATTCTTTCTTCTCACGAATCCGGTCAACTGCCTTAAATCAGATAGAATCATTTTGTTATTTTATTGAATATTAACAAAGGAACTATATTTTCTGTATGGATTAGACCGGCACTGCGGATATTTAAACCTCTTTTACGATAATAAGCCAACCAGCGGAAAATTATAACTAAATTAATGTGAACTGTAGCTAACAAATGAGATAATTCAACGAATTTTAATGCATAAAGATATGTTAGATTAGTCCGAAGGTTTTAGCGGGCGGGATTTGAAAAATGGTTATTCTTTATTTTTAAATTGATTGATATATTTTTATAATGATTCTCCTTTTAGTTAAATAATATTTGAATTAATAAATATATGAAATTGAAATATTTTATGCAACCCGTATGTCTTTATTTTTTTCAAAAGAAGAACGATGAATTTCCTAAATACATCATACCAATTACAATTCTTTCACTTATTCAACTTGAGAGTGCATTTTAGCACTACCGTATTTGTCTTATGTTATATGTTTAATTACGCATATATTTTTAAACTGTACTTGTATATAATTACGTTGCATATAAAAAATGAAGATGTGGTATGATTGCAAATGAGACAACTCTCTACGAGAGACCAAATGACACAGAAATTAACAACTACAGGTCATCGTGCGGCCTTCAACAATGAGCAAAGCCCATAACGCACAGTCAGTATGTATGTTTCATTTGATTGGCTGACAACAATCGTGAGGCATTTCAATATCATATTTTATTTCCGTATAAAAACAAAAGCTATGACTGCATGTGCTATCCGTGACAAACTAAAAATAATGCATCGGAAAGCCCGATATAACTCTTAGTCTCATTGTTGTAAAATAAAAATGTAATTATAAGAATTGAATCCTTTTTTTTTTAAATTATTCTATAGGGTTGTTAAAACGTTGATTTTGTGACCATTTTTGATATGCAGCGCTTCCGATACTTTTTTGCATGATTTAAGGAACATTGGCTTGCAATATTTGCAGTTGTACATGATGCAATCACCAGTCACTCGGTATTTTACTTGTCTATGGCACCGGTTTTATAAAACTATAAGATAAAATATACAAAACAACAATATTATTTATCACTGTATGTATACTGAAAGTTGAAGTGGTCTATTTCTTTTATTGTACATATGAATTAAACACTATTTGTATAGCATTATAATGACCATGAATTGACAATTTTATATGGCTATTAACAAATGCATTGATGAGTTGCTCTTTCACAAATTCCTATTTTTATATATCAATCATATTTTCACTGCATTGCAAACACTTGTCGTTTCTCAACAGATTTTAAACGTCCAGTGGCAAATACTACATGTTAATTCAGGATACCTTTTGAATACGTCCTATTTTGCATTTCTACTAGACATGACGTTGTGAGGTAAACACTTCTCGTTTAATTGTTCTTGATGGATTCTAAACGTTCAGTGCCTAATAATACATGCAGTTATATTCTGGATACCTTTTGAATATGTCCTGTTTTGCATTTCTACTGGACGTGACGTTGTGAGGTAAACACTTTTAGTTCTTTGATGGATTCTAAACGTTCAGATGCTAATTGAACACTTATCTTCCGGACACATTTTGAATATGCCCTGTTTTGCATTTTTACTGGACGTTATGAAGCAAACACTTGTCGTTTCTTGACAGATCCTAAACGTCCAGCGGCAAATAGTACATGTATATTTTGAACACCTATTGCACATGCCAAGATTGGAACTAGACAACCATGCTCTAGAGGATTCAGCTGTATAATCTTATCATATCACGGACTTTTAGGATATATATATATATTATTCCCTGTATTCCCTTTTCATTTTGATTAGAATGGGTTATATATTTTACCTTTATATAAACCTAAGTTTTTTGTTTTGCAATAAAATAAATGTGAACTATTTTATTTTCAATTTAGGTTTGGTTTCAAAATAGAAGAGCTAAATGGAGAAAGACAGAGAAAACTTGGGGAAGAAGTAGTATCATGGCAGAGTATGGGCTTTATGGAGCCATGGTTAGGCATTCACTTCCGCTTCCGGAAACCATTATTAAAAGTGCTGAACGTGGAGTGATGGATTCATGTGCACCATGGTTATTAAGTGAGTTTTTTTCAAAAGTTTTTTTAACTTGCATATTTCTGTGTATTTACATTTTGAAGTCAATCAAATATAAAAAAAAATCAATAATACCATTTCAGTCAAAAGGTTGCGAAATGATCACTGTCATATTAAGTGCATTAATTGATACCATCAAAATTTTAATGTAGTCACTAGACCATAACTTTGAATTTAGGAACGGAAAGGAATATCGTTTTCACTTTGTTTAAGGTAACAAGTACGTGAATGGACGTTATTTGGGATTTTTTTTATAAAAATCAGCATAAACAAAAATAGAAAATATATTACGAGAAATAGTTAAGTATACATCATGCACTGAATAGAAATACACATGTACATGTATATAAAATGCAAGTATATATCTGTGACTTGATTAAAATGTTAATTAAAGAAATAATTGTTTTAACGCCCTTTCTTTAAAACTATAATTGGCATGCGAATTTTCTATAAAGTGATATGTTATAGCCATTTAAGTTTCTACTTTATCAATATTCAATTTCATATAAAGTTGAGGTCGTTAAATTTGTTTTTAGTTAAATATGTTATTCGTAAAACTGTGTAAAATAAGTCGGAGGCCAATGCAAGCATAAAGTCATGACGTAGATGCTACGCGCATAGTTTTATTATTTATTCAGCAAAAAACGAAGTCAATGACCCAAATAAATTTTGTATCAATGAAACAGGGGATAAATTATCATTTTATATAAAATTCGTATGACATATTTCCTATAGAAATCTGGGTTAAATTATGCATTTATTTGTCCCTTTTTTATATTTTTATACGTGCAATCTACTTGACTACTTCCCTAACAAATATAACTACTTAAAAATCTACGTCAAATATGATTTTTTTATGGAATATACCCACAGTTCCACATAACGCAAAGTTTTATAGAAATTCCAAAAATCTCTCATTAACTTCAATTTTAATATTTTGGATCATAAAATAGTGTAATATATATATATATAATGATATATAGATACATATACTAGTGAAGGCAAACAATAAAAGTGATGTTTCGTGTTGCCTTTTGTGCAAAAAAGAATAATACACAAACAAAACAATCTACACGATAATTGTTTATGATGTTGTACTAACAATCTCTATCAAAATTGACCATAACATTCATAATTAAAAAAAAACTAAATGGTGTAACTGCAAATGAGACAAACACCCATTAATGAACCATGTTCAATTTGAACTTTAAACTTACGTGTCCGATTTTAGTGCACATGTGCTCTCTTTAAGAACCTTTTTAGGTACTCTTGAAACCAAATGTGTTGTAGCCAAATAAAACAATGAGGCCATTGTAGATCTGTAGGTCAAATAATATCTTGCGGCATCTAATGGTGTGGACAAGCTCAATAAGGCAACTATTAGCAATTTAACACAATTACACAGATTTTAAACTCAGACTTACCTACAATGAAGCGAAGACATGTCACCTTTGTGTATATAATATAACTAAAATACTCTGAATACTTACATTCAGATTTGTCCTCAGGTATGCACAAAAAGTCCATTGAAGCAGCCAAGACCTTCAAAGACGTTGATGAACAATCATCGGATGATGGCAAGAGTACTAAAGACAAAGACGAAATGCGTTCAGAAAGTATCGCTACGTTACGAGCCAAAGCTTTTGAACATAGTGCCAAAATAAACTGTGATCAATCGGAACACGAGGACACAAAATCTGTTAATGAACATGAACACTATGGAACATACCAAAGCAGATTTGAGGAACCTGGGAAGGATTCTTTAGGTGAAAGTTCACAGGACGAGATTGATGTTGAATAAATATTTGTCATTAATTTATTGTTAAATTTCGTTTTAATGTGTTTTTTTTTTATTATTCTCATTATATCTATATTATAAATATTATTGTTTGATTATATTGCTATATATATGACCATTAAATATCATTTGCAAGATTAAGTTTGGTTTTTTTTTAACATTGATGTCACAACCAAATGAATACACGTTTTTCAACAGTCAATATATATATTTATTTAACTCGTTATGTTTAATAGACCGTGCAGGGGTATTCAAACATTTGTGTTTGTTTTGTTTAAGCACATTTTCTGAATTCTGATTTATGTCCACACCCCTTATTATTGAGTTGTCTACTCAGTTCCTCTCTTCCTTTTTATCAAAATCACGGATTCGCCAATTCAATGGTACATATAAGGCATGCTATGGACTAATCATAATTTTCCCATCTTTGCTTTTATGTGTAACATGGATTGTGTCCCCACGTTTAAAATTGATTGCAACAACGTAAACTAGTTTGCCAATCCGTATATTATTTTGTCAATCGAACAAAAATACATCTATAAAACCATTAACATCGGATAAAAAACATTGTGATATTAAGCTACTGACCCTAATATACTTCCAATGCTGCTTATAGTTCTCAATTTTTATAACTTATAACAACTGTTGGAGTAGAATTTTAAAGAGCCTGTTATATTCACTTGGATTCTTGCAATATTGTTAAAATAATATACATATATCTATAACAATAACAGGGTTACGCACCAAGAAAAATCTATAATGTTTTAGGAAGTCAAGTCATTATGCACTACAAAAGAAAATTGAAGACAACAAAGTAACAACAAGGAAAGTATATACAGAAAAATAAAAAGTCAAAACTTATATCCAATTGAAAAATAGGCAGAACAAAAAATTCAAAAAACTAAAAGACAACCAATGTGTTTGCATATGTTTTTAATTTTGTAAACCATTATCAGACTAACGCTTAGTATACATCATCGTAAACCAGAACAAAGCAAAGTTACCGAACGTATTTATCACTGATACAAATGCACATGGTTTCTTTTCAATAAGTGGTATAAGAAAAAGGACAAACATAAACTGATTGTCGAAAAAAAACAGATAAACGTAGGGCATCAGCAATATATAACCTCTAAAAAATATGTAAATAATCATTAGGTAATGTGGAAGGATAAATATATCCTGCAAGACTAGGTGTTGAGTCTTTCCTTTCTTCAAATGCTGCATTGCATATCAACCTCACTGTATTTATAATTAATCATATCTGTAACGGACTGCTTAGCAAATCATATGCTTGTGGCATACAACTGAACAGCAGTCAGTATCATGGGATCATATGCTTGTGACATACAGCTGAACAGCAGTGTTTATCATGGGATCATATGCTTGTGACATACAGCTGAACAGCATTGTTTATCATGGGATCATATGCTTGTGACATACAGCTGAACAGCATTGTTTATCATGGGATCATATGCTTGTGGCATACAACTGAACAGCAGTCAGTATCATGGGATCATATGCTTGTGACATACAGCTGAACAGCAGTGTTTATCATGGGATCATATGCTTGTGACATACAGCTGAACAGCAGTGTTTATCATGAGATTATACTCACATTAGACTAACCTAACAGTAGTTATGTCAACTCAGTGGAATAAATGAAAACGACATAAGCCAATTTTAAATTTACCAAAATGTTGTTATACTGCAGCGGTTTGGTCATCGATAGCTTCTCAAATTGCGATGAGAAAATTCGAGAAGTTTTCACACGGAACCGATGCCACATGGCGTCTGCCAAGACCGCATCAAATCACACGAAATGTGACCAAACATCAAATGAGGCTACAAAAGGTGAAAGTTCCTACAATAGTAGTAACATCAGAGGGTCTGTGCATCCATTTTTTTATCCTGTTGATATCTAATGTTCGAACACATCAAACAGTAATAGAATATTTGGCTCTATATTTCCGTGTATGAATATCAGCGCGAAACATATCACGCTATTGTAAATGTTGTCATTTTCATTTGCATTATGAATAAATTAATATCATCTGTATATAATTTTTTTTTAGTAAAATCAAAAATATTGAATAGATCAAAAGAAACGTGAAATACCAATGTCAAAAACTAATTGACGTTAAACGATAAAACCCGTTAAACAATATTGAAAGATACCATCAGCGCGTTTTTTTTCTTTCTGTCTTTTTTTTTTTAAATATTAATATATTAATAAAATCAATAGTTACATGGAGGTATTCATTATCGTAACAGCATTCAAAAACCACATAAAAGATGTTTTTGTAATGTGTAGAACAGCTCTGAATCGCTAGCTGCTTTTTTTTTTTTATAAATGTAGTAAATAACAGACTATCAAAGCCGATATGTTTAAACACAATTTTCCCTTTTAATCTTTATCAATTGAATGAACTATTCTAGTAAGATCGCATTTTGATTCTGGTGTTATTTCGGCAATTACTCTAACCAATCCAAATCTGTTTACATCTATTTTTAAAGAAATTTATAGTCGGAAGCCAGTCAAAAGAACTGCAAATATGATTGGTTAAGATAGTGAAAGTAAGCTGTATTGTCCAAGTTTCTTCTGTCTACTTTGAATATTATTTTGATTTCTTTGATTAGTAACGAAGAATTAACACAGACTTCGGTCGACAAAAAGTAAGATACATCATACCAGAAAATATTTCAGAGTTACTTCTCCTAGATTGTAGAAATTATGAGATAGTAAAATGAGTTGTCCCCCTTTCATCACAACCTGGCGCAAATTACTATTGACCGCCGATTTAAATAATTAAAACAGAAAACGAAAACAATTCGCCGTATTCAGTCGTTACCGACAAAATTAGTAATTGGAGTGCGCAGAAAACGATTGTAGCTAGACTGCTATTTGAGTGATTTTAATAGCCTTATTCGTATCCACTGTCACCGGACAATTTCATGAAAAAACCAACCAACAAAAGCCTTTAAATTACCAATGAGCTCAATGTCAACAAAATCAGTCAATTTTGCAAGTTTGGATGAAAGACCAAAAACACTTGAAATTCAAATCAATTTTGATGAGCTTTACAAAATGGCATACCTTCATTTATATACTATTAAAGTACCCGGCCCGTTCTGTGAATGTTCACGCGACTGGAGATGTTAATTTGTTTGTGTATTTTCCGTATACTAGTGTATATTGGTTTATGATAATAAGATGTATCGTACACCGAAGATAATGTTGTGGACCTGGCTGTTCCTGATATTTGTTGTTGAAACAATAATCTTATTTTAAATATATCAATCTTAAACAATAACCATGTTCTTGGTAATCGATTAACTAGTGATCGTACTTGAGGAATTATATTGAAATAAAAACATTCAAGTAAATTATTCACCCTATAGATCTTATTAACTGTCCTCTAAAGTGGCTGAATTTGTTGAAATAATGTATCCCTTACCTCTGAAATTAAATTATTGCAATTTATGCCACGTGCGTTTTTTATTTCGTTTTACGTTCAAGTTTTTCAAACGAATAATCCAGCCAGATAGAAAAACATACACCTCAATAACAACACCCCCATAATATACTCAACATGCATAAATGTACAGAAAACACCCCCATCATATATTAACATGCATACATGTACAGAAAACACCCCCATAATATACTTAACATGCATACATGTACAGAAAACACCCCCATAATATACTTAACATGCATACGTGTACAGAAAACAACCCCATAGTATACTTAACATGCATACATGTACAGAAAACAGCACCATAGTATAGTTAACATGCATACATGTACAGAAAACACCCCCATAGTATACTTAACATGCATACATGTACAGAAAAGACACCCAGAGTATACTTAACATTCATACATGTACAGGAAACACACTCATAGTATACTAAACATGCATACATGTACAGAAAACACCCCTATAGTATACTTAACATGCATACATGTACAGAAAGCAGCACCATAGTATAGTTAACATGCATACATGTACAGAAAACACCCCCATAGTATACTTAACATGCATAAATGTACAGAAAACACCCCCATCATATATTAACATGCATACATGTACAGAAAACACCCCCATAATATACTTAACATGCATACATGTACAGAAAACACCCCCATAATATACTTAACATGCATACGTGTACAGAAAACAACCCCATAGTATACTTAACATGCATACATGTACAGAAAACACCCCCATCATATATTAACATGCATACATGTACAGAAAACACCCCCATAATATACTTAACATGCATACATGTACAGAAAACACCCCCATAATATACTTAACATGCATACGTGTACAGAAAACAACCCCATAGTATACTTAACATGCATACATGTACAGAAAACAGCACCATAGTATAGTTAACATGCATACATGTACAGAAAACACCCCCATAGTATACTTAACATGCATACATGTACAGAAAAGACACCCAGAGTATACTTAACATTCATACATGTACAGGAAACACACTCATAGTATACTAAACATGCATACATGTACAGAAAACACCCCTATAGTATACTTAACATGCATACATGTACAGAAAGCAGCACCATAGTATAGTTAACATGCATACATGTACAGAAAACACCCCCATAGTATACTTAACATGCATACATGTACAGAAAACACACCCATAGTATACTTAACATGCATACATGTACAGGAAACACACCCATAGTTTACTTAAATTGCATACTAGTATATGTACAGAAAACACACCCACAGTATACTTAACATGCATACATGTACAGCCACTAAGAGTGACTGGGGAATAGAAATATTGTCACTTTGGTCTTATTCCGACCGGCAGTAAAACTCTTGCCAAAGTGGAGTGTTCGTTTAGCTGTGTGGGATGTACAAGTACGTAGCCACGTCCGGTCAGAATAGGAACATTAATCCGATGCCTTGAAGAGAGTGCCATATGCTCTGCACGTTAGGAACCATTGCAACGACTCTTTGAGGGATCCATAGGTGGCCTGTTGAAAGGCAAAATTTCTGTCCCTGTCCAATATACAGTCGTTTTCACATGGCAGTCCAAATTTCTCCGACCTTCATCCCGGAAGTCCTCTATAACAGAACCCACCTAT